CCCTTCTATCTTCCATTAGCCCCTTGAATATCTATTCAACCCAGCACTGGAAGACCCAAATGATGGAGGCCTCTATGACCTCTTAAACATATTCCCCAGTTCCATTCAATCTCCCATTTTGCATACAGCAGACACATGCCCAAAAGACTAGAGGAACTAAGGAGCAGAAAAAGGGACAAATGTCTGCCAATTTCCCCCTTTATGCAACTCAATCCACTTATACTCTATGACTAATAACAATAATTCTTGAGCATTTGCTATGTGCCCGTTTTGTTCTTAGATTGTTACACTCATTAGCTCATTATAATCCTCAGAACATTCCAAACTAGGGCCAATTATCTATAAAATAAGACAACTGAGGCACAAAAGTTTAGGCAACTTGTCCAAGTTCACATACAGCGAGTGATGGGTTTTGGGTGTTAATTTAGTCAATGACTCCTCAGGTATACTAGTATTATTATTTCTTCCTGAAATTGGCAGTTGCTTGAAGCAAAGACAACCTGGTTGCAGTTCAAAATTTTATATACAGAAGGGAGAATAAAATGGATTTATAAATAGCTACTGTGAGCACCTTGAGGTGATCATATTAGGTGTTGAATATTTAGAACAAGTGAAATCACAAGCAGAAGGATGACTTAGAAAATCTAATGTAGAAATGATATATATAAGATAGGCCTTGAAGCACATCTGGAAGACTTGAAGAAGAGAATTCCAGCTTGAGAGAACTTCGGAAAAGAATATAAAGTAACCTGGTTGGCTATAATCAAGGGTTCAAAGGAAAAAAGCTGAAAATGTAGATGAGGGACCTGAACATAGAGGTGAGGAATTATTTTGGTAGGAAACACTTTGGTTTATTGACAGAGTAATAGTCATCTCATTTGTGGTTCAAAAACAATCTTTTGACCACGAAGAATGGACTAGAAGAGAGACTAGAACTAAAATTAGGAGGCTTTTAGAACAGATCAGGCATAAGAAAATGAGGGCCTAAACTGGGGAGTGAAGAAGAAAGGGCTGAGCCCTGGCCAGTGTGCTCAGTGGGTAGAGCGTGGGCCCACAGACTGAAGGGTTATAGGTTCAATTCCTGGTCAAGGGCCAGTTGCAGATTTGATCTCTGCCTCTGGTCGGAGCACATGCAGGAGGCAACTAATCGGTGTGTCTCTCTCACATCCATGTTTCTTTTTCTCTACTCTCTCTCTCTCTCTCTCCCCTGCCCCCTTCCTTCCACTCTCTCTAAAAATCAATAGAAAAAATATGCTTACTCCTTGAGTGAGGATAAAAAAAAAGAAGAAGAAGAAAAGAAGAAATGGCTGAGACAGACCATGGGAAATATGTGTATAGTGATCCAGGTCACTTGAAAACACTCCGTACATCTTGACCAGAGAAATCAAGGCAGAGAGGGGGACCACATATACACAAGAGTTTATAAGCCTGGGTGACTAGGAGAAAACATTATCATTAGTCTTATAGCAGAAACAGAAGAGTCAGGAGGTAGCATGATGTTTGTCTGGGTTGGAGTGGCAGAAGATGAACAGAATATGGATATGGAAGTTCTCAGAACAGACATTCAAGACATAGAAGATAAAAGCTGTTCTGAATTGCTGTTCTTGGGGAGAATGGGAGAGGAATGCCTAAACTCTAAAAAAAATTAAAAAAAAATAAAAAAAGATAAATTTTTTTGAGCCTTACTGTATCTTCCAGATTTTTTTCAAATTCCTCCAGAAATCGAGTCATAGCAGGATCACCTTCAAAATCATTAAAATGATTATTCACCCATAATAAAACAATCCGTGTTACCTGTGGAAACATGAAGAAGGCAGTGTGATGTTATGAGAGGCATTCTTTCACAAAAGATTCCAAAAACATGCCCCAAACTGAGTTTTATGGCTAACCCCCTCCTCCCTTTCCTACACACGACTAGCACCCTCTTCCCTTTCCTGCACTCAAAAGGTTCGTTCTAACAGAGAGACATAGTTTAGTTGAGCTTGGAAATACAAGTAACATAGAGCCAAGACTCTGTTCTCAGTGAGAATACACAAACCTGGATGTTAAGATGTAAGCACATGAGATATATATTTCAGACAGTATCCTAAAATGCAAGCTTCTGAGGACAAACATAAAAAGTGTTGCCATAGCCAAGACCATTTAACCAAAATTATAACAAAAACAGATCTGAGACTTACTTCATTTATAAATACCATGAGTTTTCAAAGTTATGAATTGCTTTTACTTTGTGTCACAAATTAACAGAAAAATTAAAAGCTAACAAATGGAAGTTAAATAATGTGCCTAGCTAACTATGCAATTTATGTCACGTATTTTAAAAATTATGATAGAATACACATAAAACCACCATCTGACCACTTTAAATGTTGGCATTTAGCTCATTCACAGTGGTGTGCAACAATCACCACTACCGAGTTCCAGAACATTTTCATCGCCCCATTCTATTAAGCAGTTATCTCCCATTCTGGCTTCTCGGCAGCCACTAATTTGCTTTTCTATGTGTATTTGCTCATTTTGGAAATTTCATACAACATGTGAACTTTTGTATCTGGTTTTTCACTTAGCATATTGTTTTCAAGGACATACCTGTGTTTCATTCCTTTTCATGGTTAAATAATATTTCATTATATGGCTATACCACATTTTAAATTTTGACAAAACTCAATTTATCTATTTTTCCTTTGTTGCTTGTGCTTTCAGTATCATATCTAAGAAAACACTGCCAAATCCAAGGTCAAGATTTTTGTACCTCTTCTTTTCTTCTAAGAGTTTTATAGTTTTAGCTCTTATTTTAGCTCTGATCCACTTTGAGTTGATTCTTTTGCACGTGGATATCTAGTTGTCTCTATATCATTTTTGTTCACTGTTAGCACCCTTTATTTCCCCACCAATCAAAGTAACTCTTTATAATCTGGGGGGGGGGGGGGGAGCTTGTAGTTTTGGACATTTTAGTTTTTTAAACAAGAGAATAATGCAATCCACCTAATTCTAACTTATTTCCTTTAAAATATAACTCAGACACACTAAGCAATTATGGCCCTACTTTGATGTTTCTTAACATAACAGAATTCCACCAATTTGCAAGGCATTACCAGTCTTTCCATTATATATATGAATACTCCATGAAATAAGGTAAAATAATCTATTTAAAATAGAAAACTATATAATGCAAAAAATATTCAAAGGTAGATTTAAATAAGTCACAGCAGATATAAATTAAGGTAAAAAAGACCAATTGTTTTCAAATGATACTATAAGAAAAATCAACATATTCTATTTTGGGGCTTACAAACAATCTAAGCCCTCTTGAAAAAAAAATTTACTTGAATATTCTTTCTAAACTACTAATCAACTTTTAAATCTCCTTCAGAAACAATGAAATATTTTGAGAAAGTTCAACAATACTCTGTGGCAATTGTGTTTTCTGAATTTGCAGCTACACCACAGCCTTATTTCCGTTTTTGTCTTATAAGGCTCATATCCACTTTTAACATACTATTTTGTCATAAAAGTAACTATACAGAGATACATCAATACTGGCTCACTATTTTTTTAGGTGAATTGAATTTTATCAAAATAAAATAAACATTTAATTTATCAACTGCAAAAGGTTTTATGAATAAAATTTAAAGGTTAAAATCACTTTCACGTCCCTTACATTTATAATACAAACCTTATCTCTTAAACTGTCAATTCTAAACCATTCCAATAGTTTGATCCCAACATCCAAAGGACTTTCAAGAAATGTCCTATAAGTTAATAGAAAATCTTCTATGTAAGTTGGGTCCACAATGGAATGTTCTTCTATTAAATGCATGATGAGACGCTCAGGTGTTGCCTAAAAATCCAAAGATAGAAAAGATTATAAAATAAACAAATAGCTCAAAAGCCAAAGAACTCCTATTAATCACTTCCCCTTGTAGCCACTCCATTAGACAGGTCCTCAAAGAAGAGTGTCTCCCTTAAAACACTTAGCACTAGGATTAGGTAGTCTCTACAGGTTGTAATCCATCAGCACCCAGAGATTTAGAGCAGGGTCAGGGAACGTCCAGCTTGAGGGCTGTGTAAGGCCAGTGAAATCATTTGGTCTGGCCCTGCCAAGGCAACCACAGGCGGCACTTGAAATTCAGTAAATCTAGGAGTTTTTTCACAGCAATATAAATTTATATTAAGTGAATTACAGTAAGTGAATGATGTTATAAATATCCAAATGGCTCTTGGAAGAAAAAAGGTTCCCCACCCTAGGTTTAGAGAGAAAAAAGGCAGAGGAATAAAAATTTACTCAGCTGTAGCTGTTTTTTATTGGCATTTCATCATAGCAGGGCTTTTAAATTTCACTGATTTACCCCTGGTATAGACTGTTACTGCCAATTATACTGCAAAGGAGGGATGTAATGATGATTCCCCCAAGGCAACACAAGAAAGAGTTGAGAGTTAAAACATTAAACAAAAAAATATCCTACCCTAGCCGGTTTGGCTCAGTGGCTAGAGCATCGGCCTGTGGACTGAATGATCCCGAGTTTGATTCTGGGTACATGCCTGGTTTCGGGCTCAATCCCCAGTAGGCGGCATGCAGGAGGCAGCTGATCAATAATTTTCTGTCATCATTGATGTTTCTATCTCACTTCCCCTGTCCCTTCCTCTCTGAAGTAAAAAAAAATATTTTTTTAGCCTAGCCGGTTTGGCTCAGTGGATAGAGTGTGGGCCTGTGAACCAAAGGATTCCGGGTTCGATTCCAGTCAAGGGCACGCACCTTGGTTGCAGGCTCCTTCCCTGCCTGGCCTGTGCAGGAGGCAACCAATCTCTCACAAAGATATTTCTCTGTCTTTCCCTCTCTCTTCTACTCTCCCTTAAAAAAAAAAAAAAAGAAAAAGAAAAAAAAAAAGGAAAATTATCCTCAGGTGAGGATTAACCATAAATAAATAAATAAAAATAAAATATATCTATATATATCTATATATCTATATATCTATATATATATATTTTTAAATCCCATTAAATATATCTCTATATATAGATATATATATATATATATATTTTTAAATTCCCCATTAAAACAAAACAACAAAAAACCCTAACAACTTTCCTCCAAATTAAGTTAATCATATTCCAAATTATCTTCTGCCTCAAGCAACAGGAACAACACACCAGCTCAGGATAGCTTGTTTTATTGTTGTTACTTCCCAGAAGAGAAGTTTCCTCTTCTTTAGTTTCTCCATGCTAATTCACCATCTTGAGAGGAACCAGAAGTTCTAGAATTTTTACATAACTCAGAGTTTTAACTGCTTGCCTGTCTCCAAATTTATAAAAAGGAATAAAATAACATTTATCTACTGCTCATCTTTGAGCTTCTAAGTCAGTGGTTCTCAACCTTCCTAATGACGCGACCCTTTAATACAGTTCCTCATGTTGCGGTGACCCCCAATTTCATTGTTACAAATTGAACATAATTAAAGCATAGTGATTAATCACAAAAAACAGTATGTAATTATATATGTGTTTTCCGATGGTCTTAGGCGACCCCTGTGAAAGGGTGGTTCGACCCCCAAAGGGGTCACGACCCACAGGTTGAGAACTACTGTTCTAAGTCAATGTTAAAATTACTTTTGCAGCCTTTTCAAAAGTAGGTACACAGAACAAATACAGAAATAAACCAGATGCTAAGCCAAATATAAAAACATGACTGTTGTCCATAACCTCAAATTTTAATTTGTTTTATTCATCCAAATAATCATGGGTCAAAATAACTATATAGAAAACATACACTAATCCTAACAATGTTCATATCTAAGATATTTTTTAAGTACCTATTACTACCAGTGTATGTAAATCATTCTTCTAACAGGAAGTCAGAAATAAGGCTCTTCATTTAACCTACTTAAGGAAAAAGGCAACACAGGTCACTCCCAAACTTCTCCCGCCCTCCAAAACATTCTACGAGCACCAAACTGGGTTTATTATTTAGGCTAATCATGATTTGAAGTCACTTAAATCTGGTTCGTAGATCATGTATATAAGTCATGGGTGGAAATGATCAACATGTTAAAGGCCATTATTCTGATTGGCTAAATCAGTGATTTTCAACTTGTGTGCACTGATAATTTTTAAAACATGCAATATTTGACTATCTAGTCAGGGGCACTGAACTCTTTTCCCTCAGACTGTCAAATAAAAATATGACAAGAACCAACACAATAGGTGGACGGTGTGAATGAATTAAAACTATACCTATATTTGTTGTCAGGTTGGCAAAAAATATATTTTTTTGGTGTACCACAGAAATTTTAATAACTAGTTTATGTGTGCCATGAGATGAAAAAGGTTGAAAATCGTTGGGCTAAATTATTGAGGCAGGATACTTGTGGGGACTAGGCTGATTAAGTCATTGAGACAGGAGATCTGTGGAGACTAGGTCATATATTTAAAACTTTATATAGAGTCATGCAAAGGCATGTCACTGAAGTGCTCAGTAGCATCCAATAAGCTGGATACTGGGAGACAGTGAGTATAGAGCTGGCTGGTAAAGGAGATTGCTGGCTGTAGAGATTGGTTATGATGAGCAAATAAGTAACTATACAAAGCATAAAAAGAACCACTATTGGGGAAGCTATTTACAAATATAGAAAGGAAAAACTAGAAAAAACTGTTGTAGCCTGGCCGGTATGGCTCAATGGTTGAGTGATGACCTATGAACCAGAAATTAAGGGTTCGAATCCTGGTCAGGGCACAAGCACGGGTTGCAGGCTCAATCCCCAGTAGGGGGCGTGCAGGAGGCAGCCGATTGATGATTCTCTCTCATCAATGATGTTTTTATCTCTCCCTCTTCCTTTCTCTCTCTCTGAAATCAATAAAAATATATTTTTAAAAAATCAAACCAAACAAAAAACTATTGTATAGTAATTATTGGAAGTATTGGTAATAACTCAAGATTGTTACAGATAAATGGATATACAAACTTTATAGATGTGTATGTATTTATAGTTAAAACATATATATACTATAGGCCCAATGCACAAAATTTGTGCAAGAGTAGGCCTCCCTTCCCCCGGCTGCCAGCACCAGCTTCCCCCTGGCAACCGGGCCCTGGGCTTCCCTCACAGCCCTGGCTTTGTCTGGAAGGACGTCAGGTCTAATTAGCATATTACACTTTTATTATTATAGATTTCTTAGCTCTGCCTGAGGAGAGGCTCTAGAACAAGCATGTCAAATTCGCAGTCCACTTGACCTGCTTGCGAAGCAATGATACTTCAGTGGCAATGAGTAAATGCCCAGATCTTGATTTTCAAATGCTATTCTCCACTAGAATGATCCAGGAAACTCTAGAGAAATGGATGATTCCAAAGCTATAAATATAAGGTGAACCTGGAATACCTTGTTTTGCCAGATAATAAGGAAACTCTCAAAAAATGATGGGGACATGACAAAAGGACACAGAAGCCTGGCCAGTGTGGGTCAGTGGTTGAGCATTGTTGACCCATGAACCAAGAAGTCACCAGTTCGATTCCTGGTCAGCAGGGGGTGTGCAGGAGAAGCTGATTGACGATATTTCTCTCTCATCGATGTTTCTATCTTTCTATCCCTTTCCCTCCCTCCTCTCTCTGTAAAAGTCAATAAAAACATTTTTTTTTAAACAGGATACAGCAATCAGTCTTAAGAGAGTCTCACTGGCTAACTCTGGGAAAATTTGACCACTGAAACAACACTGATGATAAGAGAATGCTCATCTTTATAGTAGAATGACAATAAATGTAGAAAAAAATAATGGAAATAGAAAATAACCATATTAGGCAGGAATAGTCAATAGAAGTAAGACTGGTAGATAGAGACTTGTAAAACATATTGCCACTATCCCAGAACATCTCTCCTCCAAATACTCATCAATTACAAAGGGTAAATGGTAACTTTTCAGTGAAAAAAGTTACAAAAAGATATCCACCTGACCAGGTGATTAAGATGGTGGGACAAGTTGACATGTGCTCCTTGATATGAGGTACTGAAAAGAGCACACCATTTATGCAGAATTCATGCCAGGAATGCATGACTTGAGTGTAGTCATCAGGAAACATTGAATATATAGATGCAGGCTGAGGGTCATACTACAAAATATAGGGTCTGTATTCTTTATAACTACTGAAAATATGAATAGGGAAAGACTGTTCTTGGAGTAGACCTAAATGCAACTGTGTTCCCAGATAAGATCCTGGACCAGAAAGGAAAAAGATCTGTTGCTGGGATAGTTGCTAAAAATTTAAATAGGGTCTGTGAGCTACATGGTTTTACTTTATCAATGCTCATTTCCTAGCTTGAAGGGTTCTATGCTGTTTACATAGTAGAGTGCTTTTGTTTTAAGGAAATACATAATGGAATATTTAGGAGTGATAAGGCATCACATTTGCAGATTGCTCTCAGTGGTTCAGAAAGAGATTGCTGATAATGGAGAAATGCAGTGAAATGTTAACACTTGAAGAATCTGAGTCAGGGAGCTCTCTGTAAATTTGAAAAAATCATTTAAAAATAAAGCATTAAAAACCATAAGCCCCACACAGGCAATCAATCCATATGTTCATCTTTTCTACATACAAAACTTACACTTATCATAGAAAAAAAAAAAAGACTGAGGAACAGCCTGACTCCTGACTCCAATCTGACATCAGTCTCTCATATTATTAAATAAGCAGTTACATTTGTAACACTTACTTATTTTGCAACCAAGATTAACTTTAAAAGACAAACAGTCATGTGATTATTTCTTCTCTTACAACTAGGATTGCTCTATTTTATATCTAGAGGGCTTTAAATAGACAGAAGAGTGAGGGGGTGATCAGAGGACAAGAGGGTACGGGGTAGAAGAGAGAGGGGGTTAGAGAAGGGAAAACATCACGGGCATAGATACTAAGATTCTACAATGTGCAATCTTTTTTATTTACCTCATTTAGCCCTAATAAAGGCTTTCATATCACCCACATTTGCAGACAAGACAACTAAGGTTCAGAGAAGTTAATGCCTATTTCAACATCACAGAGATCCACTAAGCACTGCATCTTCATCTAAGATTCCTTATGCCTTTATGGTTGATCCTTTCATTTTCTGTTGTTTCTAAATATTGTTGTCTTTGATGAAATTAACTCCTATTATCAATGGATCACAAAATGAATTTAAGAAGAAAAACTTTGACCAGTATATCCTAAAATAATATCCTATCCATACTGATGTTAAATAGCAATGTCACCCTTCATCAATAAAATGTGTAAAAATCAACTTTAAAAAAAGCAAAAAGAACCAATACAGTTATTTAAATTAGATTTCAAAGTTAATCAATTATCTTGCACTACTCAAAAAGTAGTTCAAAGCCTTCTAGTCAAGATGAAAGCTTTATTCTATCAGTGACTAGAATAATAAGTAAAAACACTCACCTTGATTACAATGTGTCCTTTCCTGGTTCCACTCCGATCTAGTTCACGGTGCTCATGCACCATAACAATTTCTCCCTCTTCTTCAACTTTATGGGTATTTTTTTCCACATGATTTAAAATTCTCCAATAATCCTGCTGGGCTATGCAGACAAACTGTCCGAGAACAACATGGGGACAATTAACAAATCTGTAGTACATAAATATATCACTACGCACCAAGGCAGAGCACAAAGGTAGGAAATCAAGTGGCATCAGTTCTTTTTTATTCAATCCCTTTAATTCTTCACAAAAATCAAGATGAAATAAATAATTCACGCACAGAGACCAAGGAGTTTTTGATTTTGAATTCTGCTCTAAAAGGAGAAGTGAACTACTCTCAAAACTGATACTATGCAAAGAAAACATGAAGCGGGAATTAGAAACAACTCAGAAGTTCCTATTTCCTTCCTTTATTTAAAACAAGAAAAGAAAAAAGAATGAACTGGTTAATATCGGATAGAAATTTAACAAACCAATATTTGGTATACCCTCTTAAAAATTTACAATTTGTTCAATCTCACAAACATGTGAAATATAAAATTTAATTTCCTTTATTAACTGTGAACTTTCGAAACTGATAATTTTCAAATAAAGCTATTTTATTTTAAGGAAGGAAAAACAGGCTCAGCCATTCTAAGTCAACAAACGAGAGTGCAAGACCAAAGACATAAGCTTACCTGGCAATCATCTACTTTAGTCCTAACAACTCCATGCATGTACTGCTTATCCAGAGTGGGAGTAATTCCAAAACTATTTCCCATAAAGAGATTTTCAACTTTTCCATCTGAATGGCTGATTTCTACAGTGCCATTTAAAATAACATACCATGAGTCAAGCTATAGAGAAAAAGACAGGTTTTAAGAATCTTAAAAAAAAAATTATATGTTAACTTGGAAAAATAATCAATATATAGAACTTGTATAATTTAAAAAAGTAAAGGGAAGGTCTGATTATATTACTAAATACTTGTCAGTAACATCTGATGCCTGTCTATGCAAACCATAGAAGCTTATTTTACTCTTTCTTCTTTTAGTCACCAAATTAGTTCTCAAAGAATTTCCATCAAACTTTAAAAGGACTTGAATATCTACATAATATTACATCCCGTGGTTTATAATAATTCAGTTAACCACTTCTTATAATTGTATTATTTCTGGTCAGTTCCAATTTTCACTATTATAAATATGCTGCAATGATCACCTTTTGTCATGAAGCTTTGAGTTTTATATTATGTCCCAAGGAAAGACACTCATAAGGGGAATGATAGGTTAGAAACTATTAATACTTTGGGGCCATGTTAAAAATTTCTAAATGACTTTCCAGAAAAAATACTGGCAATACATAATGTTCACTGACTAACATCTGAGCATTAATTTTTATCAGTTTAATAAGAAAAATACTGAAGTACTTTCTAACAGCAATAATACCTTTCAATTTCTCTGCATTCTCCCCTCACCTATCCACGAATTGCCAGGGAGCATTTCTGAACATAGAATTCTTACATAAAGGCCTCAACTGTCAGCAGTCCACTGGGAGGCATCTGTATCAATGCCTCCCTCATTCTTTTTTAAAAAAACATTAATATACAAAAGGGATAAGGACAGTTGAGTAAATACCTGATAAACATTTTAAACAATGATATAAATATACGAATAGCATAATAATTATGAATTTAAAAAAAATCTTATGACTTAATTTGAGAAGTAAAAACAAATGTGGTTCAATGAATAGTAACTATTAAACATTTATTCTATGCTAGGAAATAAAAATTAAGAAAAAATACAAAAACAAAAGTAATAACTTATCTCTTAAGAAATTGTAACTACCGCAAACTTGGCATTCATTTAAAAATAAGTATACTGCCCTAACTGGTTTGGCTCAGTGGAAAGAGCGTGTCGGCCTGCGGACTGAAAAGTCCCAGGTTTGATTCCGGTCAAGGGCATGTACCTTGGTTGCGGGCACATCCCCAGTGGGGGGTATGCAGGAGGCAGCTGATTGATGTTTCTCTCTCATCGATGTTTCTAACTCACTGTCCCTCTCCCTTCCTCTCTGTAAAAAATCAATAAAATATATTTAAAAAAATAAGTGTATTAATTTTAAGTCAAGATTCACACAAGTTTATGGAAATTATATTATTCTAAAAATTACCTCCCATACTATATAGTGTGTAACATTTATTTGCTAACCTACCTCTTGTCCATCTTCAAGAATAATAGCTCCAGCCTGCTCTACCACTTCAAAAATCATCACTGAGCAGAGTTCTCTCCTTACACTCATGGTCATGTTTGCAAAAGCAGGGAGCTGGTGCATAAACTCCAGTAATTGTTCTATTAAAAAACAGAAATTGTGTAGTACAGAGACCATCAAGGACACTTTCAACATACAATAAAATTTAGAATTCAATGCCCAATTTCCCAATCAACTTATGAATATATGCTGCTAAAGTAGAGAAATCAAGGCACAAGATAAATGTTGGTTAAAAAAATCAGTTATTTGGTTAATAGATGTATTCAGACTCACATGAAAATATAGGCACACTGGAAGATACCAGAACTCACAAACTCCAGACAGAACCAGGAAACTACAGATTTGGATGAGGGTAGAGAGTTATCTTATTTTCCTAGCCTGAGATGCTACTACAGTGGTTAATATAGTGATGTCCTTTGATCTAACGGATTAGTGAAAAAGCATTTCATCTACTTCTTATTGGGCTAGAGTTTAAAAGAAAAATGTTATTAATAAATGTCAATAATTAACTAGAAATAACAAATGTAAATTCTAGTTCAAGATTTTTCAAAGTAACATAAGGTAATTCTTTAACCAACAAATGTTTATGAGTGCCTGTCTTAGGCCATTCCCTGGTATAAATACATGTGTAATAAAGATAAATATAAGGAAGAAACAGATATAAGCAGTCAGCTAAGGGCTGACACAGAAATAACTATAAGATGCTATCCACCCACAGATAATTGGGAGTTCGTTATTTTCAATTTTTAAAAAGCGTTGTGAAAATAGCATAGTATGCAATTCTTCATCATAAAAAACGCACTTTCAGTTTTTGTCCAGAGAATATTCACATGAAACTAAACTGCAGGTTACTTAACTATATATCATTAGAGTGGCAAGGAATGTTCAAATGTATTGACTTATACTCACACAGATTATGATTACCATTAATACCAGCATCATCTGATTTGAACAGCAGCAGTATGACCAGTATAACAGAAAAATCTAGGATAAAATCTTAATTGAATCATAACAATATATAATGAAACTAAGAAATCTTTGTCTTTAAAGATAACATTAGCATCTTTAGCATTTTTTTTCTTCTTTCTTTAGCATTATTTAACCTCTGGAAGTTACTACTTCTGTAAGAAATTACATAAAAGAAAATTCACAGTTTTAACCAAAAATTACATACTTACATATTTTTTCAAGCTAGAGAAGTAAAAACATTTTTTATAACATAAATTTTTTTTTAAAAGCTAATTCACAGACATTGGACACCGATGTACTATGTTTAAATGTCTCATAAGCACGAATGGGAAAACCACTTTAATGGAATCAAAGCTTTTGTTTTATAAATTTGGGGAGCCAGGATGTGAGTGAGAGTGGTCTGGCTGTGACATCTGTTTGACTTTCAGGGTTGACTCAGTTGATCTGGTAGGCTAGGCAGGTGACCCCTTCCTCCCTCACAGTTCCATGAGCATCCATGCCAAAGCTGCACACTTGAAAAGGACAACCATCCCCAATAGAGGAGGACTGTTCTTCAATCAAGGGCATAAAAGTATCTGTGCTCCCGTTAGACCCTCTATACAAGCTCTCATATTGGGGCAACCAACCTCAAAGATGGCCCTAAATGACACCTCCCTCTTGATATTTATGTCCTCATGCATTCCCCTCCCATATTATATGAGGGTTGCTCTGTGTGACAAATAGAACTTTGAAGAAATAATGATATGTCAATCCTGAAGCCAGATCATACACTGTGGCACCTGCCTTACTCCTTTGGATTACTTGCTTTGGGGGAAAGCCGACTGCCATGCTGCGAGGACATTTAAGCAGCCTCTGGAGAGACCCACATGATGGGGACTTGAGGCCTTGTGCCAAAAGCCATGTCAGTAGCCACCTTGGAAATAGGTCCTCTAGCTCAGTCCAGCAAAGCCTCAGATGACTTCAACCTTCGTATTACAACCTCATGACACTGAGCCAGAACCACTCAGCTCAGCTGCTCCTGAATTCCTGACCCAGAAAATGTATGAGAAAATGTGTGGGGGTTTCTTGTATTGCTTTTTAATTACTGACTCTATTACAAATGTCTCCCATGTCTCCCCAGGTGTGTTGCCTCCCAAGGTGTGTTGTTTAAGTCACTAAGTTTGGGGATAATTTGTTATGCAGCAATAGGTAACTATATCTAAGTTAAGCTATAAAATTCTTATTGTGAACAGATGTTTTTCTTACCAATGTCATCATCAGTTTTGTCTGCAGGTTCTTTTTCAAGACATTCTCGAACAAGATCTCGCCCCTGCAGTGGATCTGTTCGATCAATCTCTTCATCTTCCTCCTCTTCATCTTCAGAATCAACAGGTCCTTCTGGAAGACGTGTTAAATCTACATCTCCTACCTCACTTTCCGTAGCCTAAAGAAAGAAAGCTTCATGTTATAAAAATTGTATGTCACAGTCTGAATTAATCAAAACTATCCCTCAATACCAAATATTATAAAGAATTAGGCAATATTTAATATTGTATCAAAAACAAAATGAGATTTATAAAAAGTTTTCTCTCTGCCCAAAATAGTCTCATCATTCCATGGTGTGACACTTAGGTGATATATCTGACTTGGTAAATAGAAAATGGTTAGGAGACTAAATGTTTTAATACCTGTTTTCTACAAATACTTGCATTTCTTAAAAATACATTTCCTAAAGCATGAAGTGTAAGAAATAAAGACAGTTTACCAACAATCACTTTATAAGTACTTATGAGTTTACACTGTGTGTTGTATATAAAATATCACTCTTTCACCACTAAGGTTTAGAGTCTAGTAGGGTAAGCAATCATGTAAATTAAGAACAGAAGTATAAAAGAGGTAAAGAGTAGTACTGAAAAGTGCTAAAATAGACCAACTGTGAAGGACTCAACAAATATTCATGACTTCCCAATGCCTTACTTGAATCTAATATTGTGTCAATAAAGAAGAACAGAGATTATTTTAACCAATCTTTAATATAAGCTTATATTTATAACCTCAACTCTGGAAACATTAGTCTCATTAGATACTTGTAAAGGAACTAGCAGATTTTTTAAAACCTGTAAACTTAAATATCAGTTACAGAAAATAATGAAGATATCTTTTAGAAAATAAAATTGTCCTGAAGTGAATTTGCTGTCAAAATTTCTAAATACTGCACTCACCTGATACGTATTAATAAAATAACATGAATACTGAAGCAGTTACAGAAAAAATGAGTTGAACATAATCTTCAAATATTTAAGTTTCATCTCCTATCAAACATTTACTGTTTACTCTGCACAGAAGAGGATCTTCCTTCTTTCAGGGAATTGCTGTTCTCCTCCAACCTAACCCAGAGATTACAGTGGGGAACAGTTCCCAGTCCCTGGCTATGTAAGCTAAGATAGAAAGACCTCTTGTCTGAATTTTTATAATTAGAACTGGAGGGCAGAGTGTCCTTTTTCCTCTGGTTCCTTAATCAGAAGAATGTGATGCAGAGCAGCATGGGAGAAAATGTAACTAATAGGCAGAGAAAGAGGCAGGGGAATTGGAAGTACACTGAACAAGAGAGACAGACAAAGACAGCCCAACAAAGCAATAGAAACAGAGCATGCAGGATAGGGCATGGCACAAAGAGCATCTGACAGAAAGTACCACAGGAGAGAGAGAGGAAGAGCAAGCAAGCTACCAGGCACCAAAGCACTACAGAGAGATGGGCCTGCAAGCATCCAGGTTCCCTGAGGCTGGAACTGTCTCTGTGGGTCAATCAATTACCCTTTTTGGCTACTGTTAATTCAAAGTTAAAACTGATACTGGCAACTGAATTTGTTTTCTAAGATTCTGTTTTATACTTCCTTCGGATTTCTGCACAGCTTTAAGAAACAACTAGTTTAAACCAGATTAAATACTCAACTTCAGATCTATAAGATTAGACAAGCTGTTAAGGATAATGTAAGAGCAATCCTACCTCATGACTAGTATGCTCTCCTGAGTTATTTTCTGGCTATAGACCTTTAAGGTTTTAGTGGAGTACATTTCTGAATAATATACCTTCAGAATAATATACATACTTGCTAACAGATTACAATCCCTTTTCAAAGACGTGTACATGCTAAAATGATTTTTCCACAAGTCTAATTTATTTACATAAACTGATTTTAATACAAGGAAGTAGTGTTAAAAAACACTAAAGCAGTATTTTGCACACAAGTTAATTTTTCAGAATATAGAAGCTCATCCCAGGAATAGCCTTTTTCCCCCTTTATCAATTCTCAAGGACAATCTACCTTATAAATTTGAGTTCTTAAACCACACCTGTCCACATTAATATCAGGTTTTCATCCCTTGACCCAGATTATTTCAACTTTTAGGTTATGTCTGATAAAAAGATGGATGGCTCATAACAAAAAAGCAAGATGCAGTTCAATTATATGGACAATAGGGAAGGTGTATTGTCATCTGCTTGAGGAGTGAAGACATTTAAGAAAATAGCTCTTTAGAGAGAATGGAAGTCATGGGTAGGGATGGGGAGAAGACTCCGAAAGAACTCTTTTAGGAAACTTTTAAGGCCATGTGCAAATAAAAGAATTTAATCTATCCTTACAATTGTCTTCTCCTGCCTGTCTTTTTTTCAAAGTAGGATACAAAGAAAAAATATGAATAAAATTAGTTATGAGAACATACTAAACTGTTAAAATGTTAAGCGTATACAAGAGAAATATGGTGCCAAAATAAGAATTAAGAATAAAAGTAAGAAAAAGTGGCCAAAAACATACTAGGAAATTGAAAGTTTTGGTAATTTAAAAATAAGTAAAATAAAGTGAGCTACATAGATGAAGTCCAAAGTCTAATTCCTTGACTAAAACAAAGGAAAGCCATGTCTTTAGGTAAAGTTAGATACGATGACCACCACCAGGACTGGAAGTCACTGAATGATGCTTCCGAGGATGCAATTCCTTGGCAGAAAATTTAATTCTATAATAACTAGATAAGAATTTTTAAAATGTATCCTTAATGTCCAGCATATAATAAAAACTTACTAGGTAGGTGAAGAAGCAGAGATGTGATCTGTATCAGGAGAAAAATCTATCAATATAAAGAGGTCCAGGAATGACAGAGATGATAGAATTAGAAGACATGAACTATAGACATTTATTATCAAGAAGTTAAAGGATTTAAAAGAAAATACAAAAAAATTAGGGAGAAAATGGGAGATCTCAATAAAGAAATTCAAACTGTGAGAAGAGTGAACTTGAAGGACAATAAAAAATACCCAAACTGAAGCAAATAGAGGGCAAAAGCCAAAAAGAAAATTCAACAGAGCCTCAGAGATATCAAAAGCTGTTACAAAAAAGGTAGGTCAAAAGATATGCCATATTCATGAAGGTAGGATACACAAAACATCAGAGCCCTGGCCTTTCAATCACTTTATCCTAGCACTTAAAATACAGCAGACCATCAAGAAGATTTTACTAAATTAATTAAGTCCAGAAAAAAAAAGTATATTGGTAGGACTGATAAGACAAATATTAAACTTCTTGTGTTTTTCCTTTCCCGCAGTATGAAAGTGTCTCTATGTGTATGTGTAAATATAATTTGGTGAGGCAGACAGTCTGAAGTGATTTTCTGATGACTTGGCCTTCCCCAAATAAACCACCAGAGGATTTCCTTTTCCTGTTTGCATTCAGATAAACATGAAGCTACAATAAGGGGAACTACAGATTAGAATGAAAAGTTACACAAATTTACAAAAATCACATTTTCAAATTTAGAGCAAGTATTAAGCCAGAACCTTAGCTCTTCAGTGCTTCTATATTCTGCATTCCTATTTTTAGTATTTCTCTCAACCTTATTCATGGACCACTTAGCCGTTATGTTTCTTCTTTGTCTTTCTGGTCAGGACAAGAATCCTGTGAAATCAATCCTTCAAAATGTGCTGTCCAGGCTGGCCCATTCCATAATCTCTACAACAGGGCAGGCAGGCAAAGTGAAGCCTCCTTTGCCCCAGATAATCAAGCTTTAGTCTTGGAAATAATACTGTTTTCTACCTATAAATGTAATTCAACTGAAAAAATTTCTAGGTTACTTCCTAAGTGCCAAAATTGTGCTTAACTCAGTCAGCATGGGATATACAAGTAAGAAAAAACTCTACTCCCCACAAATGTACTATGATAAAAAATGTCAAGTGTACACATAACATAACTACACTAAACAAGAGAAGAGAAAGAGACATGATGGAAAAACTGCTGTGAGGTTCCAAGACATGTGAGACAATGTGAAATGTCATCCAGGCGGAGCTGCTGGCACAGCAGCATTACCACACACTGAACTGGGAAAAGGTACATGGTCAGGGAGTAGCCATTAAGTTAGTCACGGACCAGATCTACAGTGTGCAAGTGGAGAATAGTGGAATATAGACCAAATTTGCAGATTGTGGTTAGAAGGGAAAGGCTTGGATATAAATGTGAAATGAAGTGAAGAGCATAAATTAGGTAACAGTGAAGCACTGAAGCTTTTTTAATAAAGTTGTAACTTTTTTTTCAATTTATTTCAAGTAAAAATTTAAAAAAAGAAAACAAAGATAACAGATATTGACTAGGGCACAGATAATATTCTTAACAAAAATATTAAAGTGGAAGAAAACATGTAGTAGACAAAGCTAGTTGAGGTGTCAAAAGAATAGCCCAGTGGAAATGTGACACCAGGGACCTAAAGAGATTGGACAGTAGAGCTCTGAATTAAGAAATCGCTGTAAGGTAATAACTAAAGCAGGGGTCCTCAAACTTTTTAAACAGGGGGCCAGTTCACTGTCCCTCAGACCGTTGGAGGGCCGGACTATAGTTTAAGAAAAAAACTAGTCGGCTGCTAAGCAACAGGCAGCAGCGGCAAAAACACCCGGCGGGCCGGATAAATGTTTTCGGCGGCCGCATGTGGCCCACGGGCCATAGTTTGAGAACCCCTGAACTAAAGCGTCAGGATTTTTAGGAACATGTTTATGTCCTACATAGAAGCTAAAAAATAGAGGTGGGGATTAAATGTGGCCCTCAGATTATCTAAAAGTACAGTCATGTGTCACTAAAAGACAGGGATATGCTCTGAGGAGGTAGGTGATTTTGTCCTTGTGTGGTCAGAGAGTGCACTTTTATAGACCTACTACACAGTGGGTCTATATGGTATATATAGACTATTGCTCCTAAGTTTCAAGCCTGTACAGCATATCACAGTATTGAATACTGTAGGCAACTATACGATGATGCTAAATATTTGTATATCCAAACACATCTAAAAATAGAAAAGGTCCAGTAATAATACAGTATAAACAAAAGTGTATGTGTATGTGCACATACTCGGAGGGGGGTGTTCAGAGGAAGGCTATGGGAGAAACATCATTGTAGGAAAAGTAGT